AAATAAGGTAATTGGGATGAGTGCAACAACAAAACAAAGGCGCAGCAAATGCAAATTTCGCACACACTGGAGACCAATTAAGGACAAAGGATTGTCAGCCACCAATGGCTCAAACACTTTATAGAAAATTTTGTCAACACTATAAAGCCAACAAAACCACGGACGTCAAACTGTCTCATTTAGTCTGAAGAGGTTCGTTTCACCTAAAGTGGTACAAAGACGTCAATTAGGAAAAGCTGCTGACTCTGGGTTTGCCCCAGTCTGCGTTCCCATGTGAAAATTATAATTCGGATGATCTTGTCAAGGTAACTTAACCTAGAAACACAGGACTCTCCCAGATCAGGAAACAATCATTTCAAATGCTGGATTTCTGTTATGACCATCAGTTTTAATAAGCTTTATTTCTACTGAAATTTTAAGGCAATAAGAAGGAGCTGACACTGGCATATGTAATGGGTTACATCTCACAGGCACATACAGTATATGTCCAGGCAGACTTTACTTCCTTACCCCTGAGCCTCAGCCACTGTTGCCATGGAGAACAGGCCAGTCAGAGCTTTAGCAAATTCAAAACAATTAGCTGTTGCTATGTTTTGTGAACAGAACATGGTACTGTTGATTGATTTAAGATGCAGGTTGTAAAATTGGTGTCGTCAGCACTAGCTGTGGTTACATGCACTCTATTTTTATCAACCATTACAGCATTCAAACCCCCTACAGCTAGTGGAGTAATATATAGAACATGAGGCTTATTAACCCACAGTCAAAGCTATAGATGTGTGTACTCTTGTTTGAGAGCTGACTTTCTCATCAGTCACAGTGACAGGTGAATAATAATAATTATTATAATAAACTTTTTGTATAGAAGCTGCAGAAATGCAGCAAGAAGTGCTTTACAATAAAGAATGAATAGGTAAGAAATTGAAAGAGAATGTAAATGTTTATGTACATAAACAGGGGTAAATGCCTTAATTAATGCAACATAAGATTGAAAGTAAAACCCACTTCATAATAATGATCATGATAAAAATAAGATAAAAACAAAGTAAAACAATAGAAGACATAAATTGCACAAAGTCAAAAGAAAAAGAAGGGCAGCAGTGCAAAAAGAAAGAACCTCAGGACTGTATCGGGATAGACTGTCCATTTTTCATTCCTAATAGTAGGAAGTGAAGTTTTAACATCGGTGCGTTTCTGTCAGAACATCATTTACTGCAGAACCACTTGGCCGTGACAAAGTTGGCAGTGACGATAAAAACATGAGGTGGGTCCTGCTGCTGTAATGCTGTCTCCAGTCATAATCAAAATGGCACAGAAGGATGACGAGGCCCCGTTATACCTGTGAGTAATGTGCTCTGATTAATACTTCAAGCTTGTCATTTTACTCATAACAAGCATCATTTCCCGATCAAATGAATTACAGCTCAAACTGATTTATTGATCACAAACAGGGAGCCAAAGTCCTGCCCTCTTTTAAAGCTGCAGTCATCAGTATATCTTTATTAACGATGGATCAAATTTGATCGATCCTTACAGTCACAGAGAAACACTCTGGTCACAAAATGTGGTTTGGAGATGTGCCTAAAGTAAAACCGCTATTAGCTGCACCACAAATTATCTCGTGGTGGAAAACTGGAAGTTTCTGGAACAGCTCAACACTGCGTAGAAAAGTAGAGAAGATCAAATCCTATTCGTCATGTCATGTACAATATGTTTAAAAGAAAGTTAAGATTGTATTTGTTAACACAAAGATGAGTACAGAACACTATGACTTTCTGGTTTATAAGAATTTTATGTTTGTTTATGATAAGTTTTCTGAAATGGAAATGGATACAGGAGCTAGTTCATCCCACTTATTTGTTTTTTCTTTGTGACTTATTGGATTGAATTGTGGAAGGTGTTTTCTCATTTATTAAGAAATGAAATTACTGAGTGCAGCTATTGTATGTATTAGATTTCAGAATAGATTATGTTTTGTGTTGGTTGTTCTGCGTCGTAGGGGATGTGTTGTGTATTGTGAGTCTCGTTGTGAGTACTGATGTATCTGTTGTTATTGAAGTATTGTTAATAAATTTAAGGGGATGAGTAGCCATATTTATAACACGGTGGCTAATGGGGATCTAACTAAAAACTAAATGTCAGACGAGTCAGATAACTAATAAAAGTAACAGGAGAGGTCTCAGTATTTGCCTCTGCCAACAGGTTGTTGTGAGAGTGACGTTACATATAATCCATGAGTCATGCTTTTATCTCTAACTATATTGTTAGACGTAGATATACAGCATGACGTAGCTGATTTTGGTGGTAGTATGATATATTACAGTAATCTTGAGGGTTTTTTCAGTATCAATTAATATGATGATGTTAAAGGAATAGTTTTACTCCCCCCTCCAGCGTCCTGGCACCCCAGGCTCTAGCCTCCACTGCCTACACCAGCAGCCAGTGTTGTGGGTTAAGTCACAGGTCTCTTCCATAACAATGACCTGTATTAGATTATCAAAGGTACTGCAGGAGGCCCGGGTGGTACAGCAGGTCGGCTGCTGATCCCTGGGGCTGGCGGTTTGATATCCTTGAACCCAGGGTTGCGTCAGGAAGGGCATCTGGTGTAAAAACATCTGTGGTGACCCCTATTGGGAGCCGCTGAAGGCCAACAACAACAGATTATTAAATATGGGACCACACTGATTTCAAGATGACCCTCCTTTTCCAACATCTGTATTTGAGAAAGTGACTTTTACTCTCGACTTGTTCTGAAAGTTTCCCTGAGACCGAGTCCTCATCACTGAAGCCTTTTCTCCTGTATAAGTGGAACATGAAATACAGCCATAACTAAAACCCACATTAGTGAATCTCTCTCACTCTGTCCTGTCAGACTGCTGAAGTGGTCAGAATCATTTTCTCCGACAGCTTTTCAGACTTCAGTCTTTCTGAGCTCATCGCCTGTGACAGCTGTGATTCTTGGCCGTTTGACAGATTTTCTCACTGGTTTCATTTCTGCCGTAAAGACGTCGGGAGACGATGTGAACTCATTTTCACTCATGAATTTATTTCCTCTGTGACAAAAAAAAAAAAACATGTTACAACAGCCTTCAGAAACTGCTGCAGGTTAAACTGGATGAACCGAACACTTTCAGCACCGACCGACTCTGAAAGAGTCAATATAAACGGACTGAAAAGACTCACTAACCTCGCATGAATGCAACAAACAGCCCATAATATAAAACTGTCTGTAAGAGGCTGTATTACACTAGTGCTTGCTCCTTTCAAAAAGAACGTCTCATCTTGTGGACACGTAAAATAAGACGACTCCCTCTCCGTCAAACCGATTTTCCAGGAGAAAATATCGTCTTATATTCGTGTCGGTAACGTTTATCATATAACTTGAACAATTAGTAACAAGAAATGTCAGCACATTACATACTTTGTCTACCTGAGAGCGCTAGCAAGTTTATTTTTATTCCTCCACGCCGGCGACAGTCGGAGCCGGAGGCATGTTGTTTTCGGATTGTCTGTCCGTCTGTCCCATTCTCATGATCCTGATATTTCAGTACCCCTCGCTGGAACTTCTTCAGATTTGGCACAAACATTCACTAGGACTTTAGGATGAGCTGGTTAGATTTTGGTGGCTAAAGGTCAAAGGTCAAGGTTGTGGTGACCTCACAACATACACACATGGTTTTGGCCTTGTGTGAATGCCTTGAGGAAATTCCTTCAAATTAAAAAACAACGTTCACTTGGACTCAAGGACGAACTGATTAGATTTTGGTGGCTCTTTTTAGCCGTTAATCAAGACTTCACACAGCAATTATGACAAAATTTCACACAAACGGTTCATATTTTATATGATTCTGGAAAAACAGGGATGTAACCTGGAACTAGTCTGAGTGGCGGAGAGATACGGCCATGAGGCGGCAATTCTGGTTCAGTTGTAACGTCTTCTATTCAGGCAGTTTCTTCGTCATGATACTTTAATAACTAAATAGAAGGGACCTTCATCAAAAACAGGTTGTTTATATTGAGCATTTACATCCAAACAATTAGTGTCATTTTCAGTCTAATGAAGGTTAATCAACTTCAAATAACAAAAGCAGAGTTATAGAGCAGGACGATATCTAAGAAGAAACATTTGCCAGTGTCTTTAGAAGTGTGTGTGTGTGTGTGTGTGTGTGTGTGTGTGTGTGTGTGTGTGACACATTAGGCGTAATACAGGTACAGTATATCCATAAATAAAAAAAAAAGGCTATTTATTTTCTGTCTGAAGATGAAAAACCGTGAAACAAGAACAAAGTGCTCGTGTTGTTGACAACACAGAGCGGATATTTTCTCCTGACTTATTCCCCCTCTTGATGAAAATGACAGCGGCGCTGCTGCACTGGCCTGCGCGGTTTTGCTCGAGTGTGTAAATGACACTTAAATGTAGATTAATGTGAGACTGCAACATGAGCACTTTTTCAGCCGGAGTGTATGTACTATACGGCTGCTAGCTGTTGTGAGGGTGAACTGTAAAGTATGTGAGGAAGAGGACAGGAGGTGTATGTGAATGTGTGTGTGTGTGTTGTTTTTGTGTGTGTAAATGCTGGTCTGTGCTGTTCTGGAGCTAAGCTGCTGGAGATGGCGTTTTAGCATGCACGGCAGAGCGGTTTGCCTGTCTCTGCATTTCTTTTTTCTTTTCTTTTTTTTTAGTTTCTCCCCCCTCCTCTGTGCACAGCTCCTGTCATGCTGAACTGCCCTGTCTCTCCACTACATCGTCTTACTGTGTGTATGTGTGCATGCTCGGTATGTTGTGTGTGTGTGTGTGTGTGTGTGTGTGTGTGAAAAGTGGAGGGAAGCTCGACTGGGCTTTGGCTGTGCTGGCTAGATAACCCCTCTGCTGATAAGACCAGTGAGGACAGTGACAGAACCACCCAGAGCTGCACTCCCAGGCCATTTTCAAAGATTTTTTTTCTCTCGCCTGTCTTGCCAGTTGAAGTGATTCATCCCTTGTTTTCCACTCTTTTCAGATAAAGAAGTCCCCACAGCCGCCCCCTTTACCCCGTCTCCTGTGGCGACGCCAGGGAGCACAAAGGGAAACAGCCCCAAAGGCAAAAGCTCGAGCGCCGTGGCCGGAGGTTTGCTACAGTCAGTGCTGGCTCAAAAAGAACGACTTGTCTCCCAGAGAGGGGAGATCCTCCCCTCTGCTCTGCCCCAGAACCTGCTCCCTCTTCTGGGCAGAGGACTCAGCATCGGCTCCCTCCCCGGAAGTCACTCCCTGGAGCATCAGAGTGGGGGATTACTGAGGAGGGTAAAACCCCCGGCATCAGCTGCAGTGTCAGGCCGGGGCAGCGATCCAACCGAACCTCCTCCTACAGACACACACTCCCAGCTGCCTCACACACAGACACACACTCCTGAGCAGGAGGCCGAGGTCACCACTGTGATGCTGGACGTGGACACTGAGACGGGGACACCCTCGTCAGGTATGAGTGTGTAGTTATAGGGAGAAATTAACCACGTTAGCAGCCGATCTCTGTGATGTCAGTGTCGGCCTCGTCTGAGATATCTCAGCAGGTGTTTGACAGATAAACATGAAAATGTATTTATTAACATTCACACTCCCCAGAGGATGAATCATTCTGACGGCTAATCTAGCGCCACCATGAGGCTGAAAGCTGCGTTTTCTAGTGATATGTTTCCACAACCATTGGATGAACTGTAATGACGTTCATGCTCTCCTCAGGATGAACTTTAATAACTGATGATCCTCTGACTTTTTCATCTAGCGCCACCATCAGGTCAAAATGTTAATTTGTTCAACACTTTAGTTTCTTGAACAAATACCAGCAAAAAGTTAGCATGCTAACACGCTAAAATAAACTCACTTAACATCAGCTTGTTAGCATTATCAGTGTGAGCATTTTAGCATGCTTATATTAGCATTTAGTACGATTGGATTAGTTTAGAGAAAAACGTGTTAAATTGTTAAACTTAAATGAACATTAAAATGCTGTTTATATGTTAAAGCTTCAGTGTGAATAAACCAGTATCATCACACGTATACAAGCATGAAGTCACAGGCTAATTTTACTTTAGGATCTGGATTTTTCCACTTCTAATTTTGCAAAAACAGAAAATAGAGAATGTGATTTTTTTTTTTATTTGATGTCAGTGTTAACAGCCAGGAGCTCTGGATGTGCCTTGTGTCTGCTGTGTCGTGGTTCTCAGCCCAGTAATTTCCATCATTAATTACACACAGCAGGGATTTCCAGTGAGTTTCCAGTCAGGCTCGCATTAAAGAGATTACAAGGCAGCGTACAGAAAATATAAAATGAGGCCAGTGCAAAATAAACTGCTCTGATTTCTCCTCAGCTGTGCAGAGCTGCATGGTGAATTTCTCAGACGCAGAGGGATACATAGACTCCTCTGATGACCCCCCTCTGCCCGACGGCACCTTCCTTCACTGCACCTACACGGTGACCGTGTACACCGGCTACGGGGTGGAGCTGCAGGTACGCATCAGCAGCATGACAATAAAACACACAGACACACACTCACACACACACACACACACACACACACACACACACACACACACACACACACACACACACAACTAGCCTGCAGGTAAACCATCACATCATCAGTGTTAGCAGAGTCTCTGCTTATCATGCTGGACATCGTTTTACTGGGAGATGCTGCCGTGTTCAGTCTGTTGTGACCATAAGAATCTCTCTGATCTGATCCCAGGTTCAGCTCTGCCTCCTAGTGACAGCTTCTGGTACTGCTCTCTCCCTCTCTCTCTCTCTCTCTCTCTCTCTCACTGTTAAGACCCCTGTTTATGCCGGCTTTGCTTGTTCACACTGAACAAAACAAAACCAGCATATTGCCGCTTCCCTGTGTGTGATTTTTAGATCGCATGCTGGCGTTCTGGCGTCCCATCCCATGATGCCAGCTCTTCCTTTTTTCCACAGACATCGATCCGATGGTACCTTCTTAAACGGAGCAGCGAGGTGGAATAAAGCTGCAACATTCCCACCTTGACCACGCTGTGTAAAAGAGGCAACTGTCTCTCTCTCCCTCTCTCTTTATTTTCATTTGCGTGGCCATAAACAGACACAGCAGGGCTCAGCAATTAGGTTCATGCATTCTCTCTTACACACACATACACACATTCATCTGTCTTTATTTATCAGGACTCTCACCGACATAATGCATTCTCCAGCCCCTAGCCTGGTGCATACAGAAGTTAAGTGCAAATTATATATTTTGTTGATTTTTTTTCAGGCGAAGAGAAGTAAATGCAACCACTGCAGCAAACAGACATTCAGCTGTTATTTCATGGACTACAGAAACTGGACAAATTTAATTGGAATTGTGACATGTGCAAAAGTTTGGGCACCCTACCAAGTCAGTAGATAGTCACCTCCCTTATTGATCAGTCAGTGCTTTACATTACAAGTCACATTCACATACAACACACAGCACATTTTCTACCACACACACACCGATCATACATCTGTGGAAATTTGGGGTTCAGTATCTCGCCCAAGGACACGTCAACATGCAGACAGGAGGAGCCAGGAATCGAACCACCGACCTTCCAACCTACCAATCTACCAATCTAATCCTAACTGTAACCTTAACTTTAAACTGAAGTTTTAGGATTTCTCACAACGCAGAAATGTCCTCAGGGTCTAGAAGCACAAACACACACACACACACACACACACACACACACACGCAATTCAATTTCAACTGACATTTTCATTGGTTCGGCACAGAGATTTCAGATATTACGAAAAGCCAGTGACAAAATGAATTCTGTTTTCCCTCCAACGTGCGACAACGATCAACACGTTCTGGAGCCAGAGTTGTTTTTCTGCTCGTCCGGGAATCTGCGACGTCACGATGCAAATTCAAACCAAAACCCAGTGACTGTATCGATCCTGGACAACAAACAGTGACTCAGGAGGAGCAAATTAGCTGCAGAGCTGAACTCTCTCTATAACAGTGAATCTTCACTGTGGCTGTTTGTTTCCAAAGTTAACTCTGGAGTTTTGCAGACAGATGCATGTAAAGGTTATTTTCTATATTTATATCAATCTTACAAATAACATATTGAAATAGATGACTGTTCATTTATAATATATAGTCTAACATTATTACAAATGCTGTGTACATTTCCATATTATGAGTGCTCTCTTCCTATTTAATAACAAACAATACACAACAAGAGATAATGTTTCACTTGTGATTATAAATTCTCGTTATCATCTTACAAAGTTGACACAGTGAACTGTTCCCTATTTACACGTCCAACAAAGGAGCATTAGCTTTCATTTGGAGTCATGATTCTGGCCTGTTTCCTCTCTGATTTGGTCTCCACCAACTCCTGAGAAAAATATCTGGTGAACAATAAAACCAAAAGGATGAGCTGTGAGAGGCTGAAGGGAACTTAGTTTATCACAATGAGCGACTCCTCTCACATTGTTAATGTAAAAAAATAGATTAGAGCGGCTTTAATATTCGCCCTGAGACGTTTTGGTGGCACGCTGTGTTTTCATATTATCAAAGGAAGTGATTCCGTGTGAGTGTTTTTGGAAAGTAATATAAAGCATCCCTTTATATTATCTCTTAAGTGCAACCTTAGAACCAATTTGTCTTATTTACCACAGCGCAGAACAACAGAGGGAATAATCACTTTGAAACATTTCAAAGAGTAAAATAATTACGGTGTGTTTCTCCCTGTGTGTTCAGGTGAAGAGTGTGAACCTGTCGGAGGGCGAGCAGCTGTCCATCAGGGGCGTAGACGACCGAGGGTCCCTGCTGGTCCTGGCCAACCAGACGCTGCTGGTTGAAGGTCAGGTGATCCGCAGTCCCACCAACACCCTGTCCGTCTACTACCGCTCCACGCCGGAGGGAAGCATGGGCATCTTCCAGCTGCACTATCAGAGTGAGTCCAACACACACACACACATATACACACACTCAAACCGCACACACACAAAGTATGTCATGACTCTAATATGAATATGCATACATATAAACAAGCTATACAGATTCAATAAATATGAATTCATCATTAGGTCCTTAGGGGCTGTTTGTACTCTGTATATATGCTAATTGCATAATCAAAAATCTTCTCATCTAATCGTTTAACACGGTGATTGAATCTGTCATGTGAATTATCTTATTAGAGCTCTGATTAATTGGCTCTCATCTCATTAGGAGGCTGAGAATATGGGAGTTTTCATAGAGTGTGTGTGTGTGTGCGCGCTTGACTGTGTAAGCCCATAATAGATATGACAGTGACTGGAAAGGAGGAAGCATCAGAGTGTTAAGACCCACCTGTGCCATTAATCACAGCCATCTAATCCTTTTACATCAGCAGCAGGCAGAGGAACGGAGCGGAGCCGAGACGACTGAGATTAAAATATCTCTGCGGGGACAGATGTGGCCAAAATAAAGGCATAAAAATCAGTGTTTAAGAGAGTGAAAACAACACAGACAACATAAAGGCCTACTCTTAGATAAGTCTTCAAAGGTATAATCATTGATTCTTCCAGTCATTATATCAGAAATAGTTTTTTTATTGCTCTGCGTCGGCGACAGTCAGAGCAGGAGGTGTTGTGATTTCATGTTGTCTGTCCGTCCGTCTCATTCTCATGAACCTCATATCTCAGTAACGCCTTGACGGAACTTCTTTAAATTTAGCAAGAACATTTACTTGGACTCAAGGATCAACTGATTATAATTTGGTGGTCAAGGGTCAAAGGTAAAGGTCACTCTGACCTTACAGAACACGTTTTGGGCCATAATGCACAAATTCAGACACTAATTCTGACACAATCCCAAAGGTCAGAGGTCAACTTCATTCTGACATCATAATGTTGTGCAGAAACACCTGGATATTATTCAACACTTTAACTCAGGAGGGGGGGGGGGGGCTGTGACCATATTTCCATAAAAATGTCTGCACCAAATTTGGGGACAACAAATGTCGGTACAAAATTTCAAGACAATTCGTGAAAAAGTTGTTGAGATATCTCCTACTTTCATACCCCCGTATATCTCCGCCAGTAAAGACGGTGCTGATTGTCTGTTTAAGAAAGTTACAAAAACTCTTGGACAAAGTTTCAGACTCTGTTTGAAGATGTACTTTTGTTTGAAGAACACTGAGGCTTTAAAATTCCCTGTATATGTGGATGATTGATTGATGTCTCAACTTTTCTGTCGAGTTTTCTGTTCATTTTAATCCTTTTTACTGTATATTCCTTTTATGTGTTTTGCAAACTGTATCAAAAGAAGTATTCACTCGTATCGCTGCAGAAGTAGGAGCATAAATACCAGCAGCTGTTATTGTAAAAGTGACAGTAGTTTAGTGTGAGCAGGAGTTATGTAGTAGAAGTAGTTGCGGCAGTAATTCAGGGTTATTAGCTCTGTATTTAATGCTTACTTGCAGTAATAATATTCACACAGCACCTGTCATCCTCCTCTCCGTGTTTTCCCTGTGCGTAGTCTTCAGGCTGAGCTGTCCTCTCCCCAAGAGGCCTCACTTTGGGGAGGTGTCCGTGCTGGACCTGCTCCCTGGAGGCACTGCCCGCTTCCACTGCCACATGGGTTACCACCTGCAGGGGGAGCCGCTGCTCACCTGCATCAACGCCTCCCTGCCGGCGTGGAGCGGCAAGGAGCCCAGCTGCAGGGGTGAGTGTGCGCGGAGCTGCAGAGGCCGATTTTCAAAGTAGAGCGAGATAAAAATTTCACATGCAGCAAAAAGATGTTCCATTTGGAGCCGTGTTAAAGTGAAGTAAAAGTGACTCCTCCCCTGCAGCTCTTTGTGGAGGGACAGTGAAGAACGCCACAGTGGGGAGGGTGTTGTCCCCTTCTCCCCACCACGGGCCGAACGCCACCCAGGACTGCTCCTGCTCCTGGTCTCTGGAGGCCCCCAAGGACCAGAGGCTGCATCTGCATCTGGAGAGACTGGCCTTGGGACCCACTGACAGGTAAGGGAGGGGGGGGGCACCTGTCTGCACATGTGAGTGTGTTTTATGGGCCAATGTTTGCTCAGTCAGCGGTGACCTACCTGAAGGTTTTCACTCTCTTTTACACTTTATTTTTTCTGCTGTGTAGAAATATGTAATATATATTCTCATCTCCAGTTATATCATGTTTAAACTATCAGGTGTCACATTCAGTATCTTATTTCATCACTTTTTCACTATTTATGTCCAAAATATTTCCTTTAAAGTTGCTATAATCAAATGTTTTATGTTAACAGTGGATCAAATTACTCATAGTGACAAATCCACGACTGCAGCTCATTGTTTTGGTTTTATAACCTGCAGCTTTACTGTTCTGACTGAGATATTTGTCTCCTCATTATTCTCTCTGCTTATATCCCATTATGTCTTTTACAGTTGTATTTACATTGTCCTTTGGGCTACAGGTCATGGTGATCAGGTGGTCTGGTTTTTGATCTGGTCTTTTATGAGGAACTGAGTCAGATTCCTCCATCTTTCACTTTCACTCATGCTCGCTCACTCCTTCCATCGCTCCCTGTAGGCTGGTGTTGTGGAGCGGGCTGGACGCCGGCTCTGTGGTGCTGTTCGACTCGGGCCGGGGCGGACAGATCCCCTTCGAGGGAGTGATCAGCGAGGGTCCAGCTGTGAGGATCCAGTTCATCACCGATCAGCCGAACCACAACACGGGATTCAACATCCGCTATGAAGGTACAGAAGCTGCTGTAGACCTGCACGCAAACATAAAACCTGTATTCCTTCAGCACAATTTAAAGGCACTACATGTGTTGTAACATTTCTATAATGACAGTATAATTATGTAAACAAGACTATTCCTGAGGAGATTGCAAGGCTCTGTGGTTCTGCTCACATCGTTCACTGCCAAGTGGATTGTGACTGGATTGGCAGGAAGAGGGATGGTTGTTCAACATAATCTGAGCTAAAGCTTTCCGAGTTTCTGGCAATGTCAGATTGTGGAGGGAGGGAAAGATCCCCTCCGACGTGTTTATCCTCATCAGTAAAAAAATAAATAAAAAAAATAAAAGCTAACCAAAGAATCGTCTTTGCCAGTGGAAACACAGATGCTACCAATCGTCTTGGCATCTGTTTACGGCGATTACACAGAGGTATCACAAAGGAAATTAAAAAAGCCACATGCAGCGACTTTAATACGACACATTTTGCTGCTAATTGTCCTGCGGACTGAGATTTCTCTCCCTGTTTCATTTTCTCCTCCAGCTTTCGAGCGCGGCCACTGCTACGAGCCGTACCTGCAGAACGGAAACTTCACCACCTCCGACCCGATGTACGGGGTTGGAGCTGTGGTCCAGTTCACCTGTGACCCGGGCCACTCGCTGGAGCAAGGCCCTCCTGTTATCGAGTGCATCAGCGCGAGGGATCCTTACTGGAACGACACAGAGCCGCTGTGCAAAGGTAACGCTGAGAGCAGGAGGCAGAGACAACGTTTTTGTGTTTAGGTTTTACCAGTGTTCAGAGTCCGATCTAGTAAACTCTCCTAACGGCACAAACTTAAATCACTCATGTCGGGCCACTTGTTCATGAGTGGGTGCATGTTTCTGTAGACGGCTTCATGTTCTGATCCATTTGTGGCAAGTTTTGTTCAAAAAACAAGTCACCTGAGAGTAAAAGGAAGGAAACACCAAAACACTTCAAGTCCCTCTGTCACAAATCAGCTGTAACAGAGTCAGGAAGTGTTTTAGTATTCTTCCTTTTTCCCTCCATGACGTGCGTTCAAATAGCTCAGGGATAAAAACAACAAAACATCCCGCCACTGTTTATTTTATTCCTGTGCGCTGGCGTCAGTCGGAGCCGGAGGCATCATGTTTTCAGGTTGTCCGTCCGTCTGTCCCGTTCTCGGGAACGTGATACCTCAGTAACGCCTCGAGGGAATTTCTCCAAATTTGGCACAAACAGTCACTTGGACTCAAGGATGAAGTGAGTAGAATTTGGTGGTCAAAGGTCAAAGGTCAAGGTCACTGTGACCACACAAAACACATTTCTGGCCATAGCTCACAAATTCAGATGCTAATTATGACACAATTTATCTATGAGGATAAAATGAAGTGATCAAAGGTCAACTTCCCTGTGACATCACAACGTTCAGCAAAAAAAACACCTTTCGTCATTATTACTTTTATTATTTTATATATTATTATTACATTAAAGCATATTTCCTGCAACTTGGCTGATTGGCGGAGGGATACAACCGTGAGCTGGTGATTCTAGTTTAATTTACATTTAATATTTTCCTAAAAAAACAGAGCTCTTTACATTCTTATATAAAGCACAATAACCAGTTTCATCTAGACTGATAGATTAAGGAATCAGCCCCAAAGAGAATATTTTAATATGAAAAACATGATGAGTTCAATCATGGACACGTGCCTCATCATCTGTTGGAGGATCCTGCGTGAGGCGCAGTGTGTTTGATGTTTCTATTACGGAATAATTCAACATTTTGGGCTTTAGATGAAAAGATTGACACCACTCTCATGTCTGTGTGATAAATATGCAGCTACAGACAGTTAGCTTAGCTTAGCTTAGCTTAGCTTAAAGACTGAAAACGGGGGCAACCGTTAACAAAATCTCCCCACCAGCTCCTTTAAAACTCCAGCTATTCCTTTAAATCTTCCATTTTTCTTTGACTGTGTTGTTCCTCATTCTTCAGTCTTCCTCCTCCTGTCCCTGCAGCGCAGTGTGGAGGAGACCTGACCGGTCCAGGGGGGGTGATCCTGTCTCCGAACTGGCCCGAGTGGTATGGAGAGGGGGAGGACTGCAGCTGGAGGATACATGTCGGGGAGGACAAACGAGTGCTGCTCGATGTGCAGCTGTGAGCAAATTAGCAACACACACACACACATGCACCTACACACACACACACACACACACACATATACACGTATACACGTCAAAGCTTCAGCTCTGATCCAAACTTTGGCCAGATGTTATCATTAAAAATGTATGCGGGGAGCGTGGAGTGTGGCGGCTCAGTGAGGGGCCCAGCACCCCGTCTAGATGTGCCTATTGATATTTCTGTATTCCTGCTCACACTGAAGCGCTGACGTTACAGAGCTGCAGTTTCTACCACAGTGGTGATATTTATACCCTCATTTTGATTCTCTGCTTTCACTGACCTCGCTGCAGAGCTGGTCATTGTGGCTGCGTGATGCTGCTGGACTGAATTTTTAATCTTTCGTCTAACCCCCCCCCGCATTCATGTCTCTGACAGCTCCAGTGTGAACTGAGTTATCACTGAATCTAAAGCCTGTGTGTGCAGAAGTTTAATTTTAATTAAGCAACTTTCACCGGGTGAAGATTTACGCAGGCTGCAGTTTATGTGGAGTTTGCATCATCCAATCAGAGATGAGGAAACTAGTTTTCAAAGTAGAAATCAGATCAGTGTTTTCCACAGCCAGTGAAACCAGGTGAGACCAGAAAGATGGGATTAAAGGCTGCCTCCTGAATTCATTTAAAAGAAGGTGAGCTCGGTGAGCCAAGCCTCTGCCACCCAAAATATTTTGGTTAAATCTTGTAAAAAATTATTGCAGCTAAAAGTGTTTACCACAGTGTGTTGCACAGATTCATTCTACAACATAGAACTGAGTGAAGTAAATGTTAGAAATTAAAGTAAAATCAAGATGTAATGGGACAATAACCGATGTTTCCAGCAGCGTCATCCTTATGAAATTATTATTCATTTAACTTATTTTTTCTGTGGTATGAAATCGGTTTAACTCGACTCCCTGCAAACACTAATCCAATTACATACTTAGTCCTTTGGTAGAAATGTGTCACATCATATTTACAGATATTTCAATTTTTAAAACCCTGCAAAGCTGCGTCTTTAAGGAGCATCTGTGGTGAGACACACGTCTCTGGGGCAGTAACAACATGGCCGTGTTTACAGACCGCTAAACACTCTGCCTGTGGATGAATGCAGCATTTAGCCTTTGAGGTCATCTCGTCTCCCACGCAGTCGGCTGTCGACATGACAGCACTCTGACTCATCACTACTTGTCCTGAACTGATACCACTGGCTGTACTCCGCTCTCTCTCTCTCTCTCTCTCTCCCCCTGTCTTCAGACTGAACATCAGCGACAGTGACATGTTGACCATCACCGACGGCGACGAGGTCACGACACGTATCCTGGGTCGGTACGTCGGAGGAAGCAGCCCCTTCAAGCTCTCCTCCACCACCCCTGACCTGACTGTCACCTTCCACTCCGACCCGGCGGGGCTCGTCTTCGGCAAGGGCGAGGGCTTCATCATCAACTACATGGGTGAGATTTGATCCGGTTCTACATCAACCAAAGACGAAGTGTGCTGATAATTAGATAGATCAACAACAAAACAACAATGAGTTGATCCTAGCAACACAAACCGTCTGAACGACAGAGTATTAGAGTCAGATTGAGGAAAAAAATATGAAACTTTGAGAATAAAGTCGTATTTTACAAGAATAAAGTCATAATTTTAGGTTGTGTGTTGTTTTTAAAGGGGAAACATGAGAAGCTTTAAAATGAGGAACGTGGAGCATCCTGTGATGTTTTACTTTAGGTTTCACAAATAAGGAGATACTTCATCTTTTTGCTCATCATCATCATTTTTTTCCTCAATGTGGCCCTAGTACTCTGTCAAACTCTTCACTGTCCCATCTAATAAAACCATAAAAATACAAAATAAACAGAATAAGACTCAAAACCTGGAAGCTAGTGCACAAGTAAATCCACTTGTTGGACTCATGATGGATGGATCGATGCAGCAGAACTGGAGAGATCGTCTGTTTTCTTCCTTGTCAAAATCTGGCAGTTAACATTACCCACAATGCAACTGAACCACACTTGGGTGTGTGTTATGCCAGTAGTGGTTAATGCAGCCTCGAGCCCCTGTCTTTGTTGACAATAACAAGAACATAGAACAACAACAACAGGTTTATTTTCATTCATTTTCCCACTTTCACTTTAAACGACCCAGTGTGAGGGATTTAGTGACACCTAGTGGTGAGGCTACAGATTGCAACCAAACCGAATACGCCTCCGTTTCCGAGTGTGTAGGAGAATCTACGGTGACCTTCAAGTAACGTAAACACTTGTTGCACCGCCATGTTTCTATAGTAACCAAGAACTGTTCTGCACTGTGGTAGAAACGCGGCGGTGCAACATGGCGGCTCTGCTGAAGAGGACCCACCCCTCATGTAGATATGAAGGGCTCATTCTCAGCTAATGAAAACACAATGACTCTTACTTTCAGACTAATGGAAACATAATTATGAATATTACATCCAGTTTCTTTTCCCAGATCCCTTTAAATCCAACACACTGGTCCTTTAACTGCGCCTTCTCTCCTCAAGCTGCCCACTCCATTTTTCATCTTCCCGTTTCTCTCCTCTCATCTTTATTTGTCTTTTCTTTCCCTTGCCTCTGCCCTTATTCAATCACATCCCATTTGTTTCACCGTCTCACAATGGCCCTCATCTGCACACACACACACACACACACACACACACACACACACACACACACAAGCCAAGGAGTTTCACAAGCAGCCAAACAAGCTCGCACCCTCCTTTAACACACAGTAATCTGCAGTGCGTCCCGTACCCAACACCTGACACCAATTTAGAATCGCACTGAGACACACACTGTCCAATTTACTTGTCACCCTCCCGACACCACAAGCTCGCACACGCTTCCCAGAGGAGTAAATCAAGTAGACACAGCATGAATACGTAGGCTACTCTCTTTGATTATATATGTGTGTGTGTGTGTGTGTGTGTGCATGAATGTGTGTGTGTGTGTGTTAGTGTTCAGAATAAATTACCCACCACACACATTCAGGCTGCACGGAGGAGGAGAACCGAGTCAATAGAGAATGAATAATTGATCCAGGAACTTCAACTTACAAATCCCTGTAGGCCTATTATATTGTAGAGTGTAATGCAATACTGTACGCCGCCCGATCAATCATCAGAAATACATATACACACACACACACACACACACACACACACTAGTCCCAACAGGAGGATACTTATTTATATGTTTCTCTGGGCTGTAATGGGGTTTTTTTTCTGTCTTGAAACTGTGCAAATTTTTATTAATGTTCGGTGTTTTCTTCTTGGCACGAGCAGCTACCGGAGGTGGTTTTTGTTCTGTTCTTCTTTTGTTCAAGACCATTATACACTCGAGACATTCGCATTTCGCAGAGCAATAAATGTGCCTGTAAATGTGTGAATGGGAAGGAGAAACATAAACAGTCTGTGAGAGCACAGAGGAGTTAACTTCAGATGATTTGATGCAACTGCAGCAAGAGCCAAGGTTTGCTTTCAGAAGTGTGGAAGAACACGATGAAGTGGAAAGAAATCATAAATATATAACAATATAATAAAGCTGGTTATTCCCATAGTAATTTGCTATATAAGAACAAAGAGAAGTGCAACGTAAACAAATGTGTTGCAGCGTTACTCAAAATAATTTCAGTTTCCTTTATAGTCGGCCGCAGATAACGATTATTTCCATCATTGATTAATCTGTTGATCATTCGGTCTATAAAACATCAGAAAAACAACAGAGCATAAAGTGAAATTATGAAATATCTCGTTTTGGCCGCCAAACAATCCAAAAGTCTTTTGTTCATTATGAAGTAAGACGAGGAAAAGCAGCAAGTTCCCGCCTCTGAGAACAAGGAGCTGATTATTCGATTGTCAATCATTAACAGTTGGCAAATCATTTTCTTCTGATCGAGTAATTGATGAATTGATTAATCGTTGCAGCTCTACCTCATAGATTCCTTTTATAGATTTTGGATAAATAATATATTTTTTACTAGTTTATTATTTTTACCGATGTTCAATGTTTCGTAGTTCAATGTAAGTAGAAGTAGAAGTACAGATTTTTTAACCGCCCCCAAAGAGCGTCTGTAGCCATTAGACTTCAGGAGCACAAGTTTATTTGTGCAGCACCTTTTAACTTCAAGGCAATTCAAAGTGCAAGTGCTTTACATAAAAAGCATTAACAGAAGAAACACGAGGCCACACAGAAGGAGAAAAGACATTTAAGTTGGAGTGAAACAAAAATATAAGATCAAAAGCTTTCAGGCTGGAAAAAGCCCCAACGACCGTCTCCGCTCTAGTGCAGCCTGAGAGACTAAACCCGGGGCAAACATCAGGACGCAGACCACTGGTCACAGGCACAACACGCTGCTGATCGTTGACCTTATTGCTCTGAGTGTGAGGTAAAAACTAAAGGTGACTCAACATTTTCCTCATGTCAGATCCTCTCTCATCCTCATGAAGCTGGACAATAAGCTTAATGTCTCTTTCAGGACAAAATTAACTGTAAGTAAAAATATCACCAAGTGACTTTTTCCCACCCTGAGTAGCGTCTGCAGGTGTTATTAACCTGAGAGATGAAACCCAGGACAAAAAAAAAAACTTGCTAAACTGAGTTTTGTGACCTGATAAAGTTAAGTTAATCTTGTCATTGTGAGCGTGCTGTTACACTTTTATCTGTCGTGGTCTCCAGAGAATGAATCCTAATAACTCTGGTCACATTCATCACAGTGAAACATCTGAAGGAAAATGAGGATGTTTAGCTGAAAGCTCAGCCGTGCAGAAGAGCAGAGCCACGAAACGCAGCTGTAGACTTTTTGTCTTGTTAGCTCCCAGTTGATCTGAAGGGTGTGTTTTTCCCCTCTCATGGCTGTGGACTTTTATTAAATTGGACTCGGAGCTCTAAATTCTGAAGCTTCATTGATTTTTTTTTTTTTTTTTACGACCCGCAGCGAAAAACATGGCAAGAAAGTTTGAGCTTGACACTTTTAATGAGAGATCAGAAGAATTCTTGATTCAGACGGATCTTCAGAACGATCAAGAGACTGGAGATTTGGTCTGAGCGTCCTGCTGCTTCTCTGCCTGTGTAATCAGGACATGCTGGTGTGTGGGGGGGTCTTCTCAGGTACACCATCTAAAATGATAAATCAGGAGCAAAACATTCATCCATTTTATGTTTTTTTGTCATTCAGTAAAAGAAGTTAGTTTGTGCCACTGAAACAACGCTGTAAATGAGCATTTGGTCCAATGAGAGTTTAAAAACAGCCTCTTTAAAGCTGCATTGATCAGTATTTTCATATGAGATTAAAGCTCCTCCAGTGTAAAGGTCTGTGTCCATGTGTAGTGTGATTATAGATCAGGTCTAGCTTCTATATTAATACTGTGAAAGTATCAAAGCCTCAGTCCACAGAGAAATGCACACAGCCTGTATTCAGAAACTGAGCCTTAAAACCAGCCGTCAGGACTTCTGGAACTTTGTGATGTCACAACAAAGCAGTCACCAAGCCCCGCCCACCTGGACCCACCATCCAAACCTTTACAGGATTTGGTTTCTCTGAGTGTTTTTACCTGAAATCTGCTATGATTTTATTGGATCACTCAGAAAACAGTGAGCCAATCAGAAGAGAGGCTCAGAGCCTCCTCTCTTCTGATTGGCTCACCGACCTGTTGTTACTAGAGCTCCAGAGAGAAGCCTGAGAGAGGTTGTTCCGTGTCTGCAGGGTGTGTAAACAGGCAGATGTTGTGATAATATGTCAAACTTGTGAGCGATGTTTGGTTTGTTGTGAACCAGGCGGACAAAAACACTTTCTGAAGCACAGCTGAGGTCTTCAGCAACTTTAAAATTTGTGATTAATTGGAACAAAACTGGTGTTTTTCAAGTGGAATACAGATGAAAATAACCACACACACAAAGAACATCAATATATAGCATTTTCTTCTCAGTTTTGCCTTAAATGAAAAACAAAAAACTAAATAACTAGCTCCTTTAGTCAGAATTATTTTGTCACATTACAAAAAACCACTCAGACATCAGCAGCTGTGACAGTTAACTGACAGTTTGTGATAACTTTATTGAGGACTGTTTTACTGGAAGACTGCATTCAAACTGAGTGGTGTTTTCAAATGGCAGCTTCCCCGTCAGAGCTGACGCAGCGAGGAGGAGATACTTGAAGACTGTCCAGCACAGATGAAATCCATCATCCTGTCACACGGTCAAATAATTGCACGATAAGTCCATCGGTCTTCCACGCTGGGATGGTTCCCTCCTCACAGACATCATGTGCCAATGTCGCGTCAAAATCAGATGTGGTGTTTGTTTTTCTAGTTTTGCTTCTTGACCCTTCACTGTTGCCGAACCTGCCCCACAAGCAATAAGACCACATAATGGAGCCATTAATCAACGTTTGTTTTGAATTTGTCCTCTCAGAGGTGTCCCGGAACGACTCCTGTCCAGACCTGCCCGAGATCCAGAACGGCTGGAAGACGACGTCCCATGTTGCGCTGGTGCGCGGGGCTCGTATCACCTACCAGTGCGATCCCGGTTACGACCTGGTGGGACGGGAGACCCTCACCTGTCAGTTAGACCTCTCCTGGAGCTCACAGCCCCCGTTCTGTGAAAAGAGTCAGTCCCAGTCTTATTTATGTACCGACTGCAGAGCTGTGTGTGTGTGTGTGTGTGTGATGGTGCATGTAGCTGCTAGTGTTTATTGTTAGCACATTGTCTTCCCTTCACATTATTATTATTCACATCCTATATATAAGAACTAGTTTCCTAGTTTCCATAAAATGGAAATGCTTAAGGACAGTGTGAGTGTGTAAATGTTTCAACTGCTGGAATAAAAAAAAGAAAGTGTTGCTATAACAAAGTTTCCTCAGTTTGAGCTGATGAAAACTTTTATTATTCACTGTGCAAATGAAGCTTTTGTTCGCAGGTTTCTTACCAGAGACCTTCTACAGCTTCCAGACTTTTATGTCTTTGACAAAGTGAAACAAAAACAAGAAAATTCAGATGGATTCAAATCAAACTGTATTTAATTTGGCAGCCATCTTTCAGCAGGACATGTTGTAGATTCAGCAGCAGGGTGCGCCTCACCGCCGCTCCTACTACCCAGACTGCTGCTGTGCACCTGCTCTAATCTCCTCATACGCTAAACAGGAAACGGATCATAAACGCTGTTTATTGCCCCAGACCAGAAATCAAACTTTGAAGCTGATGTTGCTCCTAAACTAATTTTGCCAATCGAAGTCTTTGTTCTGGTGAAGAGGTTTGTTATTCAGGGAACTCACAGGACACGTAGCTCCTCACATGACAAGTTGGACCTTAATCAAGGTGACAGGGGAAACTATCAGGGATCGGCTGCCGAGCATCGTGCCGACATTGGAGACGTAATGTTGGCAGCAGCAGTAACTCTTCACTGTCTGAAAGGACTTTAATGAGTTTCCATTAAATTTATTGAGGGCGTTCAGAGTCCTCAGAGAATGAAGCTTTTTGTGAGCTATTTTTTTATTGATTTATTAAAACCCAGAGGATAAATAATTAAATTTATCACCAGCATCAGATGGAAATTAAAAACAACATGACAGATTTCCACGAAATGGAATATGTTCATGTTCCCCAGAGGATGAACTCTTTTCATTTTAAACCCTTGCACTTAATATGTTGTGTTATAATCGGGGCCTTTAGCATTGTTTTAAACGTTTAGGTTTCTGTAAGGCTTCATATGAGATGCTGAAACTGTATTTACACAATTGATGTTTTCTATCTGATTTATAAAGTTTGATAAATAAACTTGTTTCATGTATAAAAACAGATCATATATCGTACGTTCCTCTTCTTCTCTGGTGTCTTCTCCTCAGTCATGTACTGTTCGGATCCGGGCCACGTGGAGCACTCCACCAGGTCCCTGTCGGATCCTAAACTCCTGGTGGGGACAACCATTCAGTACAGCTGCAACGCCGGCTTCATCCTGCAGGGCGGCGCCACCATCACCTGCTACGGCCGCGAGCCGGGGACCCCCGTGTGGACGTCTCGGCTCCCTCACTGTGTCTGTGAGTATCATTCAAAACAGTTTCCAGAGCAAACGGGAAACGCGTCATGAGAGGTCAGTGGCGTTAACCAGCCGGGAGAAGCTGGTGGTTATTTTATCAACCCCCGTGTGATGAAGGGTTTCTGTGGCTTACTGGTAATTTTCCAGGCCTGTTATTTCAGAGAGCTGTCATCAGGATAGACAGTTGCACATGGCAGTTAACTGAAGATGAGAGGCTCCTTCCTGCTGCTGTGCGATCTAACATGAGTGGGTTTGTGTGATTTCTTGCCTGGCTCTGTCTTTCCTCTGCTGACACAGATCACAGCGTAAGTGTGTGCCAGAGACGATGCTTCATCTCCTGCATTTTCATCTCAGGATGGACTCTATGTGTGTGTGTGTGTGTGTGTGTGCGTGTGCATGTGTGTGCGTGCGTGTGTGTGTGTGTGTGTGTGAGCGAGAGAGAGAGAGAGAGAGTATGTGTTTGCACTTTTTTGTGCTTTCGGGGGTTATTAATGTTTGTGTGAAGTGTTTGATATGTAAATGCTATGCTAATGCACCGTACCAATCAGCCCTCAGCCACCTGGAGGAGGGGGTGGAGATTATCCATGAGTCATGTCACCTCAGCCAGAGCCTGTCAGATCTGTCAGTCGAGCTCTGACGCAAAACCTCTGATTCGTGGTGAGAAACTTGACGGGATCCATCCAGCTTTCCTCTCTCTCTCTCTCTCTCTCTCTTTTTTCTTTCTTTCTTTCTTTCTGAAGCTGAGGATTCGGTTTCCTGTGAAAACCCCGGTCTCCCTGACAACGGCTACCAGATCCTGTCCAAGAGGCTTTACCTGCCTGGCGAGTCACTCACCTTTGTCTGTTACCAAGGTTACGAGCTCATTGGAGAGGTGGCAATTAAATGCATCCTAGGAAACCCGTCCTTTTGGAGCGGCCCACTTCCTCTGTGCAGGGGTGAGAGTTTTGCAGAATTTGTTTGTTTCTTAAATTTCAGTGTGTATGTGGAATGAACCCCCCCCCCCCCCCCCCCCCCCCTTTGTACCTTTGGATTTCTGCACGTACACAACAGTTTCTTCCCCCTTGCTCGTTGATACAGATTGATCACGCTCCTGTGCATGTGACTGACAGTTCGCTAAACTCCTGTCCCCTGATCACAGCTCAGAACATCAGGCTGAGTTACAGCACTGGAAGAGTCTGGAGGGTGGTGTCCTTTTGTTTACCTTCCCAAAACCACACACAAGAGCAGAAGCGTGAGGCGTGGATTACACAGCGGGGGAAGAAGTATTCAGATCGTTTACTTCAGTAAAAGTACAAATACGCTCTAATTTGATATAACTGTGATTTCTTTGTTGGTAGTGTCCTCCAGGCTCGCTGGTCTGTGGGCGACAAGTTTCTGGTTCCACTTTAAAATACGACTATCCTTATAAAGGATCTATAAATGGTTTAAAACTAGTTTATTCATTTGGTTGTTTACACTTTATAGATCATAAATAAACAAGTTTTAACACAGTTTTCATACATTGATGCAGGCTCACTATTTGGCGAGATCAAATTAATGCTTACTACTCATTAATCTTATTAATGAGCAACTACCATTTATAACTGGTAAAAGGAGCCTGTTAGTAACTCATTAATAAATGTCGATGTGTTTTACACTCTGTGCTGTCCGAATGCTAAAGTCCTAAAGAGGAGACCAACCCGCAAAAAGCATCTCCATGTTAATCTCCACTGAGCAGAACAATCTGATCCACCGCTGTGATTAGATCAAGGACGGCTGCTGAGAGCACGCCAAGGTAATCAATACTGCTAAGACCTCAGAGGATGAATCTGGTCATTTGATATGATCATGTGATCTGCCATAATTTGATCTGTCAAAAGAAACTTTCTGACGGTGATGATGGAGAAAACAAACAGATATGAGGCTCACTATTTGGCAAGTAACAGGTCACTGTTGCCCTTTTATTTAATGTGTTATAACGGCTTATAAATGATTTATAAAGTGTTAACAAGCTAATTAATAAACTAGTTATAAACCAATTCATACATCACAAACATGAAGATCTTATAAATTTTTATGCTGTTTTATAGGTTAAACTGCCCAAACTGAAACAAATTAGTCATTAAAGTAATTAGTCAACTGACAGAAAATTAAATGGCAAATATTTTGATAATTATTTAAAACTTTTTGATGCGAAAATCCCAAACATTTCATCTCTCAAATATGAGGATTAACTGCTTTTATTTTATTTGTTTTATTTTTTAATAATTATGACGTTGGAATGGACAAACAATCAATCAATTAATTGAGAAAATAATCAGGAGATTCATTATTATATAATATAATATAATATAATATAAAATATCATTTATAAAGGAAATTATCATTAGTTGCAGTTCTAAATAACAATAATAATAATAGAAATTAGCTCAGAGCAGAGCAGGACTTGTACTGGAGTATTTGACAGTGTGGTATTTGTACTTTTACTGCAGTAAAGGGTCTGAATACTTCCTCCACTTGTGCTGTGTGAGAGCAGACAGGTAGACAGGTGTAGTAACAGAACGATGGGGGTGGGGGTGGGGGGGGGGTTTAGCGAATGGAGATTTCAGCCTTGTTTCAGAAACTCCACAGAAAGTGTGATGTAAATGTTCATATACACTGACTGACAGAATGATGTCTTGCAGCCAACCATGACTGCTTTGGCAACCATGCTTTGGAAGGTGAGTCTGTGTGTGTGTTTGTGTGTGTGTGTGTGTGTGTGTGTGTGTGTGTGTGTGTGTACTTGCGTGCGTGCGTGCGTGGGTGTGTTCTGATGCTGTGAGCTGAACAGACCACAGCATCAGTTTGTTTTCTCAACTGACAAAAACCTCAAACAAACCATCACACAGGTCAAAGAATTAAAACAGTTCATGTGTGTGTGTGTGTGTGTGTGTGTGTGTGTGTGCGTGTGTGTGCCTGCTCCGCCTGCATCAGCAAACATCTGCCTGCCAAGTTCATTCCCACCGTGTGTGTTCATCCCTCCACCTGTGTTTGTTCATTTGTTTACCTGTGGAATCCACCTCCGTTTGCTAAGCCACCTTTGACCAGACTTTTATTTATCCTCTTGGTGAAATCCTGCCGCTGTTTAACCTCGTTCTATTCACGTGTGTCAGTTGCAGAGGCGACTGCGGGCTCCACTCTGGATGGCGGGAACATCGCTCTGGCCATCTTCATCCTGGTCCTGCTGCTGTCTGTGCTGCTGGGAGGAGCTTACGTCTACGTCACACGGTGAGATCTCTGCTCAGCTTTGACACATAGTCTGACATTTTGGGAAATATTTCTACTCGCTTCCTTGTGATCAGTTGGTTTAAAGCTCCTCCAGTGTAAAGGTCTGTGTCCATGTGTAGTGTGATTATAGATCAGCTCTAGCTTCTATATTAATACTGTGAAAGTATCAAAGCCTCAGTCCACAGAGAAATGCACACAGCCTGTATTCAGAAACTGAGCCTTAAAACCAGCCGTCAGGACTTCTGGAACTTTGTGATGTCACAACAAAGCAGTCACCAAGCCCCGCCCACCTGGACCCACCATCCAAACCTTGCAGGATTTGGTTTCTCTGAGTGTTTTTACCTGAAATCTGCTATATTTTTATTGGATCACTCAGAAAACAGTCAGCCAATCAGAAGAGAGGCTCAGAGCCTCCTCTCTTCTGATTGGCTCACTGACCTGTTGTTACTAGAGCTGCAGAGAGAAGCCTGAGAGAGGAGATGTAAAACTACACTGAGATGGTTTTTATATCTTCTGATGGATCAACACTTCAAATAAAACACAGAAGAAGAGGAAAATATAGAACAGTACACACACACAACAGTATATTTTGTGTAATCCTGCTGACAAACAAACAAAGTTCAGTTCAGACTGATGGAAATGTCATTAATTTGCAGGTAACTGATAATAAACCTGAAAACTGAATCGTCCTCATGTTTTGTTTTTCTTCTGTTTCCTCTCTTTGCGTCCTTCAGGTGCCGATATCACTCCAACTTAAGGCTGCCTCTCATCTACCCCCACCCTTACCGACAGATCACTGTAGAGACAGAGTTTGACAACCCGCTCTATGAGACAGGAGGGGTGAGTGTCCACCTCATCTAACGACTACCTGTCCATGTCATCTTTAAGATATCAGACACCCTCACTGTTTGTACTGACTGTCTCCTCCATCTTGTCTCTCATCAGCAGGACACTCGTGAATATGAAGTATCGATATGAGAAGCCTCACAAAAGACATTTCTGAACCACAAACCGACCGCCTCGTCCTAACTCTTCATCCTCTCCTCCCTCCTTCTCCGCCCAGGAGGAGGCGATGTAAATACAAATAGATGATGATGTCCAGCCCCTTCTGCCATGAGACGCAGCGGTTGATCCCTGTTCTCTCCTCCTTTGACGTGACAGCTTCTGAAGACATGATGGGAAACGGGAGAGGAGATAGACAGACAGACAGACAGACAGACAGACAGACGGACCTGTATGCATCAGAGTCGCCGGGAGGTGATGGGAGATGTAGGACGGAGAGAAAAGACCCGAAGATCATCTGAGAACATCGAACATGGTGAGAAAAGAGGAACGTGTTGGGTGTGAAATGGGACAAAAAGGAGAGAAGGAGGGGAGAAGGGGAAGGAGTCGGGGGACAGGACGCAGGGTGAGGGATGTAGAATGAAGCACTTTTTAGTATTTTTGTGAAACATTTAACGAAAGAATCCTAGAACACGTCAGTTAAAGTTATAATCCTTAAGATTTTCACAAAATCAGACGCCATTTTTGATACAGTCTCATTCATTTCAGCCAAATGTGGAGTAAATGTTAAACAAATTTAAGAAAAAAAGCACATCAATGCGCATTTCCATCCGCTCCTGTTATGTGAATATTAGAAGGTGGTTGATGGAGATAAGCAGCAGGTGAAGCTGAATCTCCAGTCGCTGCCATTAAACCACCGAAGAAGAAGAAGATGAGGTCATTATAAGATGATGATGATGATGATGGAGATCTGATATTTCACTCCACACTCAGCTGATGTTTTGTTTTTATCAGTGCACCTTATCAACCCTAAAAACATTTATTATAGTTTGATTTTTTTTGGTTTCCACTCACAAATATGCACATGCAACACACACACACACACACACACACACACACTGATATCAGCCTCACTGTTTACTGTTCACTCTCCTGCAGCTGGTTCAGAGAGTCCAACAAGCCAAACACAAGGTGGCTTTTATTGTGAAGGAGCCACAGGAAACGTAGTGTATTTGTCACAGAGTTATCGCACACTGTGATCCTTCAACAAATAGTCATTTTCAGTATTTTATATTTTATCAGTTTTAATATGTCGGGGAGTAACGAGAGGCTCCTCAGACACATACAGTGTTTGTCCCGTGTGCAACGTGACGTAAGATAAAAGATGATCATATAGTTGTTTGGCTGCACTGTAAACAGACACCAGACGCTCGTCCTGTTGTATTCAGTCGCCGCCTCTAAATTTCACCTGGCGCCGTGTCTGAAGCTTTGATGTAAAATAGGAAGTGGACACTGTTTGACGCCGACTCAAGCTTCCAGGTTTTTCTTCCGCTCATTAGACTACACATTGCGATGACGTCACGCACTTTAAAATCACTTTTTCTAAACTCTGAGAAAGTTTTACATACACACAACATAAAACATCCATGGATTCAAAATCAATAATCCAAATCAATCAATAATTGACCCTGCAGACCAGCAACTGACTGCAGATGACGGTCCATGGGAAAAAGCTTTTCTGGCTGCAGTGGATTTTTACATAAGTGACCACTGGGACAAATTAACACCAATTAACGGGTGAGTGGTGGCTCTCCGTATCCAGCTCTTCTTCTGAACACACAGTGAAACCACACTTTTTGTTGCCACGGTAACTGCAGGGGTCACCATATCAACCAGGACGGAAATCTTAAGGATTGCAGCTTTAAGAGTCTTGGGGAATAAATTGGCAGGTAGAGCGGATGAGGTGTTTTTTTTTTTTTAGTTTCTGTTTACTTCCTCACATGAGTCACCCTCCTCGCCACAACATGATAATCACAGGGCGGAAATAATGGTCAGCGGATTATTCTCCTCCTAATCAGTGTGACACAGGAAGTGTGTCTGTCTCCTGTCCCTGAACCCCCCCCCCCGCCTGCCCAGTCACCTTCAAGGCTTTTTACTTTTTACTCCGGCCGCTCCACCTCTGGCTTTAGCTGTAGTTCATTGGTATTTAAATCTGTGACTTTGGGGCCAGTGCAGTACTGTTGTCTTATTCCTCTCACATGTAGTTAGACCGATGACTGTCGTAGACTGGCCTCAGAGTCCCCAGGTGTGGACCGGCTGACGACTCAAAAGGAAAAATGAAAAACATGCGTTGTTGCAGATGTGGAGGTCGCCATGTGAATAGCATAGCTGTAGTCAACCGACTGGTCTTTGAGTGCAAGCTCAATCAACCCACCAGATGATGTATTTATTTTGATGTACTGTACATGTGATGTTTTATGCAGATTGATAAATGTACATTTTCATTATGAAGAAGACAAATGTTGACAGTTTCCCTAAATAAATGGTAAAACTCGAATAAAAAGTACAAAAGATTCTTTTTAAATATTGGGGCGTTCTGTTTTTTCTTCTTCTGCACCAGGTTTTTGTTTCAGATGTGGAACCAAGAATTACCCACAAACATCCTTCTTTTATTTATTTTTTCTATATATAGTTTATTGCGTCAATGAAACATTATACTTTTCTTGTGTTTTAAACATTTTGACACAAACTTTTTAAACCCAGAACACAGGGTGAGTGACAGTATAGTTGTTACTGATCTTAATGTGTCTCTCCATACCATATATACATATACATATATATCTATACTATCAAGTACCCTTACACAAATACTAACATGCATACCTATACACATACATATATACATACATACACAAATGCACCTACATACATATACACACCCATGTACATATGCATATGAAAAAAAGATTACTTAAATAAAGTTAAAGTAAATTAAAGTAAAAAGCTTTAATATTTCATTTTACGTTGCAGTTTCTTGTGTTTAAATCATCTTCTTTGTATCAAGTATAATTAGTCAATGAGCTTTGCTTAATTTGAAGAGGGTCCATCTTTTTCCAGCTTCTTCTCGTTACTATTGATTTTGAAAGTTACCTTTTCCATATCATATATATATATATATCTTCTACTGTTTCTAACCACTTGTTTACTCTGAAAGGTTCCAACTTTTTCCAGCCCTTTGTTTTTTTGCTTAAAAGCTGTAATTCTTATAATCCAAAACAAATATAATTCCTCCCTTTTGCAGGTGTTTGGGTCGTGTTCCTGAAAGAACATTTTGTCTTCCTGAACGTCTGTGCTATTGTCTGTAAAATATCTGTCCAGTACGTTTATATTTTTTCACATGTATAAAAAAACATGTGCATAATTGGCGTACTTTTCCCCAAACATCCTCCTTTTAAATCTGTCTTTGCAACATCTCTGCAGGAAATCTATATTAATTCTTTTATACTTTAAATGGATGTTGATCATTTCAGCCCCGCTTCCATTTATCTGCATCTCAAAGTCTTGTATTATCTCCAAACATTGATGTATCGCACATTTTATTAGATTTTTTTTTAAATGGATTTTAAACCATAAATGTTGCATTCAAGTTGCCTGGGGGAAAAAAATGCATTTTAGTGGAATTATGAAGGCGTCAAATAATGACAGCTCATAACTTATTAGTGAATCTGTGAAGTTTCGGTGAAGCTGGCGCCAACTGTGGGTTTACAACAGCATCAGTGACAACAACAATCGGGTCATGGAGTAAGTTCTTTGTTCAGCCCAGACGTTGCTTCAGGCTCCTGTGCAGGTGAGGTCAAGTGAGTGGGAGGATGGCCATAATAAGTGGCTCCTCCTGTCCAGTGTTTGCTGATTATGAATGCTGCCTCTATTGATTTATGCTTGTGTCAATTCTTCCTGCATAATTTTAGCAAGCAGAGGAAGCAGCTCAGTCTTCTCTAAGAGCACTTAGTCAGGAGTTATTTATGTTGAGGAAAAGGAAGAGATGGGTGGAAACTCTCCAAGTAAGCACTGCTTTTAATAGCCCCTTTCAGGTGATTATGATGAAGAAGATGAAACTATTATAAAGGCAAATGTATATTCATTTAAATGTCTGGTGTCAGAAGTTCGTAAAACTCTGGACTTTTCATAAAGTGTAAAATAGAAACATAAGGAAACATACAGAGTGTCTGATCTGAGAGAGGCATCATGGAGAAGGCATCATGGAGAAAAATACAATCACCTCGGAGCTAAACAGTGATTTACATATGAAACATGGCCGTCCAGTTTGTTCTAGAAATGTCTTTAAACATATCTGATCCTGTTTACTACAAATCACTGACCACAGACTGTAAATAAAGATGGACGTCGCCTCTGAGACGTCACCCACAAGTTTCTGAAGAGCGGTTTTGAAGCTCAGAGTGAGCTGTTTCGCCGTTGCCACCTTGGCAGCGCCTGACTCCGCCCTTAATTCTTGGCTAATCCAAAAATGGGCAAAGAGGAGGGGTGAGTGGAGCTGAGACTTCGGTGCATGTCGGTTTGTGGCAAGCATACACTCACCCACCTGTCACTCAAAGAGGCCACGCCCTCAATTTTGCATAACTTTAGTCCTTAATAAAATGTAAACGGATGAGAAATTAGCTCTAGAGACCAAAACAGTTTTTGTACCAGGCTGTAAACATGTTTATTTCTGCTGTAAAGTTGGACATTTTAACATCAGTCTATGGGGACTGACTCACTGTTGGAGCCAGACTCTAGTGGCCATTAGAGGAACTGCAGCTTCTGGTTCTTCAGTGTTGATGCTTCATGTTTCAGCTTCGGAGTTTGATGCTTGTTTATCAGTCACAGAGCTACATGGAGTCTATAGACATGTTGCTGAGCAGTCATCACAAGAAAATCACAAGCCAAGTATCCTGTTAATCATCTCGCGACCCCTTTGTGAGGGCCCTGACCCCCAGGTTGGGAACCACTGCTTTAGGTTTTCAGCAAAAACAAAATTCCAACATCCCCGACACGAAAAGATTTTAATCTCCTTAACTGTTGTGAAAAGTTTCTTTGAAGTTTGAACTACTTACTTTCACCACAGCATGAAGCTCTGGCTTCATTCACTCTGACAAGCAACTTCTTTTTTTCTGGACCAAGTGCTCTTGGCTTGCAAATACACCCTGATGGGTGGGAGGCAAATCCTGCCCCACAGCATTTCCCTACCTCCACACCACTTTAATGTACTAATGATTCCTTCTGTTGCCGTCATGAATGCTAATAAGAAGATAATGCTTCCTGCCACGACTGCAATTTCCAGAGGCTTTCCTGCTGCGGTTAATTCAACTGTTGAGAAGCTTTTAACCAGATGCTTGATGATATTAAGGCACTCTGAGGAAACTGAGAGCTGCCCACACGAGTTTAATGAACCAACCGCATTCACAGAGCCAGAAATACTTTACATTTATGTCTGCATTTAAGGAGTTTAGTTGGTGCTATTATTCAGAGAGGGACGCATAATGAACGCAGCAACACAAGGAGATCATTA